AGCACTCAAGAGGTCCCGAGTGGCTCCAGGCTTCCTTTCTCAGGCATTCTGGATGACTGATTATTTAACTGATGCGTTGCAGGTCGTGCAGGCTCCCTTTCATTCATCCATTCACTCGGCAAGAGTGCTGAGCCCCAACCAGCACTGCCGATCAGCTAGCACTCAGACATATGGCTTAAAATATTGACGTGCTCCTTATTACTTAAATTCAAGTTAGTTAACATACAGCGTAGTTTCGGTTCTCCTCTGGAACCCTCCCATCCACCATCCACCATGGCAGCTGTATTCCTAACTCCTCCCCCAGGACCCTCCCCTACCAATGCTTCTCTGCTCTCCAGCAACTGATGGTAACCCTGTAGTTAGAGTGTTCCAGAAACAATTACTCTGTTGTAGAGAGAGGGATGTGAAGGGGGCATGAAGCACATCCCTTGGCTTTGACCTGCCTGGATTTGCTGGATCTCCTGGGAAGGACCAAGAACTGATCAGTGATCAGCTGACCACAATTTGTCAATTCCCCTCAGGTCTGCTGGGGCTTGGCCTGAGCCCCATGGGTGGGGGAAACTCTTCCGGATAATGTTTGTTGCCGCCTGCCAGATTCTGGCTGGTTTCCTCCACTGGCGGCTCTCCCAGCCCTCTCCCTGTCCCTCTTCCCTCCCCACCCTTACCGGCTCTCTCTCAGACTTTTCTCAGTGTGTTTCCTCACTGATCTATTAACCTGAATTCATCTTCTCCCTCACCATTCCCACAGCCATTGCAATCACAAATGATCTATTAATTTGTAGTCATTACAACCATTACTGCAATTATTACTGCTCCTTCAACTTGAGCCATTTTGATTAAGGGGAAGATAATGCGCTAAGTGGGGTTTGGTAGACAGCTGGTAATTTACTCATAAAAAGTAACGAAGGGTCTTCTTCCATCCCTGGAGTCAAGGGATGGATTTAAAAAAAATTTTTTTTTAACTTCTGTTAGTGTTTATTTATTTTTGAGAGACAGACAGACAGACAGAGCATGAGTGGGGAAGGGGCAGAGAGAGAGGAGATCCAGAATCTGAAGTAGGCTCCAGGCTCTGAGCTGTCAGCACAGAGCCGCACGCGGGCCTCAAACCCATGAACCATGAGATTATGACCTGAGCCGAAGTCAGATGCTTAATCAACTGAACCACCCAGGCGCCCCTAAATTTTTTTTAAATAAAAAAAGTTTAAAAAAGAAACAAAAATTTAATTTAAAAAATGTGTCCCTTTTATGGAGAGCCATGTGACAAGGCTTATGGTCACCTTGACTATAAAGAAGAGGTTGGCTGGAGGGGCTCCTGGGGGGCTCAGTCGCTTGAGCATCTGACTCTTGATTTTGGCTCAAGTCATGATCCCAGGGTCGCGGGATCGAGCCCCATGTCAGGCTCCATGGTAAGTGGGGAGCCTGCTTGAGATTCTCTCTCCCTCCCTCTCTCCACCTACACCCCCCTCCATTCGCTCTCTCTAAAATTTTTTTTAAAAAATGTAAAAAAGAAGACATTAGCTGGGAGCAAGGCTGGAGCAGAGAGACCGGTGAGAAGGAGGCTGTGTAATCTCCAGACGAAGCATGCTGTGAGAGTGGGCTAGGGCAGTAGACTCAGGCCGGCGAGGTAGGGATGGACTTGAGGGCCATTAGAAAGGTCAGGAATTCATACCTGACTGTATTTGACGATGGGGAGAGACAGAGAAGAAGCCACTCGTCCAGGGTCACGCAGCTGGGACAGCTGTGGAGGATGGGGACAGGCGTGCAGGAGGTCTGGCCCCCAAACCTGTGCTCCTATCCGGGCTGGCTGCTTGCGCAGGGAGCTGGGAGGCTGCACCTGCTCCTGGCCAAGTCCTCGCCACATCCAGGGGGGCTTGTGAGTCTCAGGAGGGGCTGTTACCCCAGCCCCCCATACCCTTCCTCAAGCCAGACTCACCCTCTCTGTCATCTCTCATGGGACGACACTCATTTATTGTCACCGAGTGCCCTGGTGTCTGGAGACAGCACTGACAAGTCTGCCCCCACCCGCCTGCAGATGCTCAAAGTGTGAGAGCACCCGTACCCACATTTACGTAGGCTCCGAGGACAGCAGTGCTCTCCGCCGCTGGCTGTAGGGCATCCCTTTGCTCAAGCCCGGACCTCTCCCTGCTGCCCCGGGACACGGGGGCACCCATCACTCCTTGGTCTTTCCAGCCTCTCCTTCTGACGGGATCTTTTTCCCGTCTTGATGAAATCCTCTACTTGTCTCACCCGCTGTGGGCTCCCCATTGCCTACAAGACAAAGTCCAGATTCCATCCTGTGATAGTCAGGGCCCTTCCTGATCCGGCCTTTCTCCCCCCATCTCACACCTGCATGGTGCTCCGGGCTCCAGTCCCTCCTTTGTAAAATGGTCTAATAACACCCGCTAACTCACTCACGCGAGTGTAAGGGTGCTCTAATGCTCTGCTGGATGGCAAGCGCTTAACATAGTTCCAGGTCCGAGGTAGATGGTCAGATAATGTTAGGGATTATTATCATGCCTGTCTCGGCGAGCTTCACGGAGGAGGACGTGGCATGGGAGGCAGCCCTCGATGCGGGGAGAGGATGTGGATGCGTGGTGTTTGAGCGGAAGCCGAAAAGAGAGCAGGGAGAGGTCTGCACCGGCAAAGGCATCCGTTGTGGCCGGGAAGGGTAGAGGCTAAAATCAGGAGGTGCGGAGCTAACCTGGGTTTGGAGTTCGTTCTATGAACGGGGGCGGGGGGGTGGGGCATGGAAGATGCTGGGCAGGGTCACCGCCTAAGCCGCCATCATCTCTTTGAACTCACGAGTCAGCTCCCATCTCTCCACCTCCTCTCTGACCCCACCCTAGGACTGCATGGCGGGGGCCTCGCACAGGGCCTGGCATAAACATCTGTGGACTGGGATGGTGGCGTGGGGGTGGCATGGAGAGGAGGGCTCCGAGCCGGCCGGAGGGGTGGGGGCTCTTCGGGAGCCTGCTGTGCTGGCTTGGGTGAGCAGTGGCACCTGGAGCCAGGGCAGGTGCATGGTGGCGGGGGGGGGTGGGGGGGGACCTCGGGGGAACTGGTGAGGACAGGAAGTGATGGCCAGGGTAGCAGAGGACAGGCGCTGTGACCGAGTGGGAGGACTCGGGCTGTGGCCAATAATTGGACAAGTGGACAGAGGAGCACAGGGCCAGGAGCAGATCCGGGGCAAAGAGAGTTTGAGGTCAAATGCTGCGCCAGGCAGGTGTCACTGTCCTGGAAGGAGCTTGGACTGGGAGCCACGAGGTGGGCTGGAGGGTTGGTTAGGCTTCTGGGAGGAGACATGGACAGGACCTGGGCGGGGGGCGCCCTCTTCCCTGAGCTCCAGCTTCTTTATAAGTTTTTTTTTAATGTTTATTTATTTTGAGAGAGAGAGGTGAGAGAGCATGAGTGGGGCAGAGGCACAGAAAGAGAGGGGGAGCGAGCGAGCGAGAGAGAGAGAGAGAGAATCTCAAGCAGGCTCCAAGTTGTAAGCACAGACCCCAATGCGAGGCTCGTTCTCACAAACCATGAGATCGTGACCCGAGCTGAAATCAAGAGTCAGATGTTTAACTAACTGAGCCACCCAGGCGCCCCCTGAACTCCAGGTTCTATGAAAGTGGGCAACACTGCCAACCTCATGGGATGGTTCTGAGCCTAAGTGAGATCACTCAGGTACCATCCTTAGCAAGCTGCTCAGCACAAAGTAAGGGCTTGAGACACCATCACCATCACCACCGCCATCATCCAGGGACTTGGCCACATTTCTGCGCTGAACTCAGGACCCTCAAATAACCAGGAAATAAAATCACCACAGAAGTGGCCCAAGACCTTGAAAGCAGCCACACCTTTAGTAGGCTCCTCCCTTACTTGTTCTAGAAGTCCAAGAAGCATCAGGGATCTCGAGAGCTGGAGGAGGCTGGAGGTCACAGGCCAGCCCTACCCAGCAGGTTGACCCCTGAGGCATCATAGGCGGGGGTGGGGGTGGGGTCGGGTGGGGATGGAGGAGGGTTGGACACATATCTTCCCGAGTCACTCCCAGGAGCTCCCAGGATCCTTTCTGGCCACAGCCCCACACTCACCCAACCTGGTTTCACCAACTTAAATAAGGCTGAGAAAAATCGAGCTTACTGAGAAAGACTGAAGTATCAAATGGGTCCCGGTGAGGCCAGGCATGGCTCTCCCAAGCCCCAGCCTTTCAAACCCAAGATGCCTGCCTTTCTGGTGTGATTCAGCAAGTCAGCTTGGTTGAACAAAGATGTGTTTCCTGGGTGAAGGTAGGAGGAGGGACGCTTGATGATATTTTTCTCCTGCTGTGGAAGAGGGGGTCACAGAGGAGAGGAGCCAGGCACCTTGGCCCACAGAAAAAGCCACAGGAGGGGCGCCTGGGTGGCTCAGTCAGTTAAGCGTCTCACTTCGGCTCAGGTTGTGATCTCACGGTTTGTGAGTTGGAGCCCTGAGTCAGGCACTGTGCTGACAGCTCAGGGCCTGGAGCCTGCTTCGGATTCTGTGTCTTCCTCTTCTCTGCCCCTCCCTCGCTCACACACACTCTCTCACTTTCAAAAATAAATAAACATTGAAAAAAATGCCACAGGGGATGCCTTAGTGTGAAGTGAGAGTTGGGCAGGGGTCCCCAGGGGTCTGGCTTATCTGCTCCTGCTGGCCCAGGATGGCCCGGACCTGGCCCACCCTCCCAGGCCCTTGGTCTCCACCAGGCCACCTGCCATGGCCACCCTGCCCCATCACTGTCCTGAGAGGAAGTGCCCTGCATTGCTTGGTTCTGCGTCCAGTGAGGGGCAGGCTCCGTTGGGGTTTCCCACAGAGAGCTGAGCCACTTGAGTCAAGGCCAGTTCTGCAGGAGAAGCCTGCTTCCCACCCCCAAGGTGGGTGCTGCAGTGTGGGCTGCGGCAGGGGCCGGGTGGGCTCTGGAGGCCCAGGCCAGGGGCCCCCACGGGGCTGCTGGGAAGAGCCTTCCTGAGGTCTCTGTCACCCTCTCTCCGCAGTCCCGAAGTAGCGTGCAACAGGGGGACCTGGACGGCGCCCGGAGGCTGGGCCGCCTGGCCCGGCTGCTCAGCATCACCTTCATCATCATGGGGATCATCATCATCATTGTGGCCGTGACTGTCAATTTCGCAGGTGAGGCCCAGCCACACGGAGCTGAGGAAGCCAGCTTGCTCGGGGTGCGGACCGCAGAAGAGCACGGCCCAGCTCCCGGGGGAGGGGGCGGTGGGAATGGGGTAAGAGCGTGCGAGGGCCACAGGCTGATCCTCTCAGAGAAGCGACCCCATCCCCGGCAGTGCCCAGCCCAGTGGGACTGGTTTCTGACCTCCCTTATGCTTGGATCATTAGGAAAGGGGGTAGAAAGAGCACAGGCTTGGAAACCAGCGGTGGTGGTCTCCAGCCTCAGCTCCGGGGGCCCCGGGTCCTGGGGCGGTGTGGTGTCTGGTTGAGCATTGTGTCCCCCGAGATCATGGATGTGATGCTGCTTGGCGAAAGCCGGGCCTGCCCTCTTCCTGTGGGCACAGCCAGCACATATGAGAAGTAAACTCCGCGTGGGGTGGAAGTCTGGAAGTAACACTTATGTGACCCCCCAGAGGTGGCCCAGGGGACTCATCCAAGCAGGGGCACCATTTTCTAAGGTGACTCTCAGCTGCTCAAAAGGCCAGTGCAGCTTTGAGTTTCTGGGGCACGTGGATCAGTGTGGTCCGTTGGCCTCCCTTCTCACGCTGGCCTCAGGAAGCCCCCAAGCATCTCTGCTGCTTGCAGTGGTCGGTCTAAACTTTTCCCCTAAACATCTTGCTACCCTAGATGCGCTGCGTGGACCGGTGGCAGTGCCTGCTGACACCAGGAATGTGTCAGAAATGCAGAGTCTCGGGCCCCATCCCAGCCCCACTGAATCAGAACCTGCATTTCAATAAGACTTCCAGCCCAGTCATTAAAGGAGGCACTGGTCCAGAACATGAGTGTTGGACTTCGGATTCAGCGGTGGGGTCATGGGCTACCAGCCTGCCCGGGTCCAAAGCCCACATCCTCCACTAAGTGTCTGAGCTAAAGCACCTTCCACTCTCTCTCTGGGGCTGATGGACATGCAGGTACATGGAAGGCATCAGCCTCAGTATCACCCTGTGGGCCTCAGCCTCCTCTGTCCTGCTCGTCATGTCAGTGTGACTTTTTTGATGGCAAATGACAACTACTGAACTCAAATTGGCAAAGGGAATTGTTTAAAAACTTCCGGCACAGATGGTTCTGTGTTTGGGGCTCCCGCGCCACAGTGAACCGGATGACTATTACCATCTCCCACTAGGAAACAAACACCCCAAGCCTCAAAACAAGGACTTGAAGGCTTGTTCTGAGCTCTGTTCTGCTGCGACTGTTCTTCCCTTTACAGTTCAGAAGATCTAGAACTAACCAGGGCGCTGTGCTGGCAGGGATGGCCCCCCGACCGGTTAGAGGCCTCCGCACACCGCCACCCACCGCAGGAGGGCAGGACCGCGGCTGCCAAGCGCCCACTCTTCCCTGAGCTCCCAAAGCACGAACTTGGAGGCAAGCCCCCAGGCCTCCCCACCGTCAGGCCCACATCAGATGTGAAAAGCAAGAAGAAGAAAGGAAATCAAACTTCCTATGAAACTGATGAATGCTGCAGTTTAGTCTCATGGACACAGTCCGGTGTTTGCCCTCAGTGTTCCCTGGCTTGTTTCTCAGCTCACAATCTCCCGGAATCAAGCAAGCAGCATATACTGTGTGTTGGAGGGGGAACTGGCCCCACAGATGAGACGGACTGTGATCTGGCACAGAAGCAGTGCATTCCCTGCATGTCTGGTGACCAGGAGCAAAGACGTGGGACTTTCTCTTTTGTATCTTTTTGGTGGGGCGTGTGTAAAAACGACTACTTGCATGCCTCATGCCCATGCTTGCTGCGATCCCAGTGCCCTGAGCTCAGAGGCCCAGCTGCCGCTCAGCATACGCCCTGGGACCCGCCGGGCACACAGGATGTACAGCTGCCCGGAGAGAGGTGACAGCCACCTTCGTAACAGGGTGGATGTTGGTGAAGACGAGCAGGAACTGCATGGCCCACACAACCTCTTCTCTAACTTTTCGGCCTCAGGAGCATCTCTGCTAAGAGCTCTGGTCCTAATACGTTTCCCAGGATGACCCAGTCTGCCTCCAACTCCCTCCCCCCGCTGTGCTGTCGCCTAGGGCACCAACCAAGTGGCCTGGGGTCTGGCCCCAGCCCACCTCAGCCAGCGGGGAGAAGCCTGGACCCGAGCTTGCCTCCTTCCACAGCCTCCCTCATGGTCTAGAGTACAAATTTGGGGCCCCAGGTGGGGCATGGGCTCTGGCTCCCATCCCGGCAGCACCCGCTGCTCTGTGCCTTCCCCTGTGCCCTGGCCATCCACAAACAGCAAAGGCGTTCCCTGGAGGAGATTTTGGGACCACCTCTGTGCGGAGGGCTTCCCATGGGCTTCCAAGCTGTTAGCAGTGTAAGTCCTGTTTGCAGGAGAGTGGGCCAGAGGGTTTTTTAATGAAGGTTTATTGTGCATTGGTTCTAGAGAGTTCTAGGACAGAGAGAAGAGCTTGGCCGAAGAGGCCAGTCTTTGGGAGAGTGGGAGGCCCTGGGCTTGAGAACACACTCACAAGCCCCGAGGCGGGGGTGATGCCATGGCCTCTGTCTCAGGACATAATGGGACACCTGAACAGTGTACCTTGAACTCCTGCCTGATTTCTGGCCCTAGGATTCTCCCCAGACCGCTGCCTGGCCCAGGCTCTACCCACAGGGGCCTCTCCTGCGCCCACCTACCTTGCTGGCCGCTCCTCCCAGACCCTCAGAGAGGGATGCTCCGGACTTTCCCACTGCCTGCCTAGCAGCCATGGCTACTGCCCTTGATGGGAGGGCACGTTCCCAGCCACAGCCAGTCTAGCCCCAGGCTGGCAAGGAACGTCTCCCCTGCACCCTTTCAGGGCCTTCGTGCCTCCTCTCAGGGCTCCTCCCTGTCTCCCTGACGCTCCACAGACTCCTGGGAGGGAGGCTGTTAGCTCTGTCTACTAGGAGGGGTCCCCTGTGCAGCTTTGAGCCTTCTAGGAGGGCCTTCGGGGCAGGAGAGGGGTGTAGGGCCCAAGGGCACTGGGTGGATCTCCCCGGGGGCCCCCATTTCTGCGTCAGTTCCCCACCTGGGGAGCACACTCCAACCTCTCCAGATCCTAAAGGAGGGGTTGCTTTGCTTTATAGGACCTTTGAGGCCAAAAGAGAGATGCCTCTGTGTGTTGGGGGAGGGAGGGAGGAAAGGAGCCCAGAGCATCTGTGTCACTTGTGAAGTCAGGGCAGGCCAGAGGGGGTCATGGGGTCTATGGAATTGGTGGCTTATGAGGCCGTGGTCTCCTGGCAGGCCCCAGGGGTCCCAGCTTCAGGGACCCCCAGGGAAGAGAGAGAATAACCAGCCAGCCAGCTTAGGCATGGGCTTGTGGGGAACACGATGGCCAAGTAGGGGCTCTGTGTGTGGCCTCGTGCCCGCTGTGACACGCCCAGACCTGCCCTGGCCTCCTGTAGTCATAACCCTCACATACACATGCTTGTTCGCACTCAAAGCCCAGAAGCGAGAGAGGAGCCACCAGCAGACAGCCGCGGGGCAGCTGGGAACGCCTTCCGTTCAGGCAAGGACAACTTGGGAATTTTCTAGTTGTACTGAGGACATAGCTCAGAGGCCTCTGAGGGTTGCAGAAGGAGCAGAGGCCACAGGAGACTGACTCCTGGGGCAGAGAAGAGCGCAAGGCCCGAACCCTGCGGACACTGGACCGGACTGGAGGGAGGGTCCCCGAACTCCCCTGTCGCCTCCACCCACGGGCAGCCTGGCCCGGGCCCCCCAGGCCTCACCCCCTGCTGGCCCAGCTCTGTCATGGGTCCAGCCGCTGGCTGCATGAACACAGCAGTCCCCCAGCTTGGGGCGCTGACAAAGCCCCTCCCTGTGTCCCAGCAAGAACCCCAAACTCCCCCCCGCCACACCCCCGCCACCACCTGGCACCACAGTCCCCAGCTGGCACCTCTGTATTGCTTGGCATGGAAACAAATAAAGCTGAGAGTGCACATGCTCTACGGGCCTTTGCTGGAGTCAAATGGTTCTGAACAACAGGGTTGGGGAGAAATTCACTCAGCCTGTCGGTTCCGGGGTTCCAGGGTCGGGGCCGGAAGCTGTGCAATGGGAAGGCTGGGCATACTTGGGACGTTCCCCTGGGCAAGTTGGTCCTCCCTGGGTCTCAGTTTCTCCAGTGAGGTATGTGGGTTCCACCTTCCCTGAGTTGTCCCTTCTGCATCTGAACAGAGATCTCAGGCGTGGAAAGATGAGCCCAGGAAACCGACACCTACTAACAGCCTAGCACATGCTGGGTGCTTCACATGCACGGGGAAATCCTAGGGGGTTACTAGTGTTAGCCCGGGGTTCAGATGGGTAAACTGAGTCTCAGAGACGTTCAGGGACTTGTCCCAGGTCACACCATGCCCAGCACACAGAAGGTACTGAATAAATGTTGGTGAACTGACCCTATCCCTAGGGCTGGCCCCAAAGTTGGCTTCTTGCCACCATGCTTTGCTACTCAGGGAGGAAAGCCCTATGGAAGGTAGAAGGCAAGTTCGTTGTGGGTGCGGTAAGGGGGGAGGAGGGATCCATTTCCCAGGCTGCAGGAGGGCCGGCCAGGAAGGGAGGTGGGTGTGAGCAGAGTGACACCCACCCTCTCTCTCTCTCTCTATCCCTTTGGGAGTCTCTTCACTGATCCCAGAACCCTTTTGACCTAAGCACCTCCCAAAGGCCCCACCTCCTAATGCCATCACCTTGAGGGGCAGGAGTTCAACACATGAACTCAAACTCGGGAAGGACACAGCAGACAGACCACAGTGTGGGTGCTCACCAGCAGTGTGCAGGTGTTTCAGTGGGTGCTCACAGGGAGAGCGTGGAGGGAGCAGCAACCTTTGCCCCAGAGTGGGAGGGAGGTTCCCCAAAGGACCCTGGGCTGGGCCCCCTCCCTCTCTCCTTCCACAAACTTGTACTAAGTGTGGGGTGTTCCGATCGGATGGGGGAGCCATCAAAGGTGGGATGTCCCAATTGGATGGAGGCTGGGGGGGGGGCAGTGTGTGTGTGAAAAAATCTACCAAAGGCAGAACAATGGAGATAGAAGTTTATCAAATACACCGTGAGAGAGCAGCGAGCAAACCAGCAAAATAGAGCCTGTCGGCGCCTGAGGCAGAGGTGACGGGCCACAGTAATAAGGCAGAGCGAGAGAGTATGGGGACGTATGGAGTTTTCCTTTCTTTGGTGATTTTAGGAACTGGTTATTCTGAGGTGGTTCCCTTAATAAGCCTATTTGCATGGCTGTTTGTAGTCAGCCCCGGGGTCTGGTCGCTGTGCATCCTTTTCTTTTACTCCGCTTTCTTTTGCTCAAACTTGTTGCCTAAAAGCTGCCT